CTGAGCCAGATGTATGTGTCATGTTACAGGAGTCAGTGACCTTCCAAGATGTGGCTGTGGACTTCAACAGGGAGGAGTGGGAGCTGCTGGGCCCAACACAAAGAACCGAGTACCATGATGTGATGCTAGAGACCTTTGGAAACCTGGTCTCTGTGGGTAAGGTCACTTCCACCCCTTTTCCAGGACTGATGTGCTATGAGATCCTTAGTTGGGGCTCTGGTCTGCTCTTGGGCATGCCTTCAAGAGTGCCTTTCTCAATCTATGGTCTATAATTGGAATTGTGGACCTGGAGAGGCTGAAGCATGAGATGGTCACAGACAAAATCAGGTCCAGTAAAGGACTGATTTGTCCATCCCAAAGGATACACAAAGGAACAGCAGGAACTTGGAAAGCCAGGAAAAGGCTTCCTGTCCTTAAACCACCTATGTCACCCTACTCAGTTCCCTTCTTTGCTGTGTCACTTCTTCCCAGTCTCTCTCTAGATTGTGTGATTTAGAGGAAAAGAAAAAAAAAAAACACTAACCCCAATGATGCATGTTACACTGTCAGACCATCCTGTTATCTTTTGTACACACATCTTTTGGTTTCTTTCAGGGTGGGAGACTACACTGGAAAGTAAACCGGTAACTCCAAAGTCTGACATTCCTGAGGAAGAACCAGCCCACAGCCCAAACATGCAAGAATTCGCAAAGGATTGTGCCTTGTCCACTACCTCTGAAGATGTCTCACAGGACAGAGTCCCAGAAGTCCTAGACACATCTTTGAAACAAGTGGGGTTCACTCAAGAAGATCTCTCTCAGAAGCAGCATTGTGAAAACCCCAAATCCCAGGCAAACACTAGTCTTGACACAAGACAAGTTTCAGTCCAGAAAATTCCTCCTAAAAAAAGTTTACGCAAACATGGTTCACGGGTTAAAAATATGACTCGTAATTCACATGTAAAGATTCATCAGAAGAGCCATGTAACAGAAAAGGCCAGGAAACACTGTGGTTGTGGGAAAACAGCCAGCCGGAATGCTCAGCATATTACATTTATAAGAATTCAGAAAGGGAGCCAAATTTGCCGATGCAGTGAATGTGGTAAAATGTTCCGGAACCCAAGGTACTTTTCTGTACATAAAAAAATCCATACTGGAGAGAAGCCCTATGGGTGTCGGATCTGTGGGAAAGCATTTGTTCAGAGCTCTTCCCTCACACAACATGAAAGAGTTCATACTGGAGAGAGACCTTTTGAATGCCAAGAGTGTGGGAGGACCTTCAATGATCGCTCAGCCATCTCCCAGCATCTGAGGACTCATACGGGAGCTAAACCCTTCCGGTGTCAGGACTGTGGAAAAGCCTTCCGCCAGAGTTCCCACCTCATCAGGCATCAGAGAACTCACACTGGGGAGCGCCCTTATGTCTGCAACAAATGTGGAAAAGCCTTTACCCAGAGCTCCCATCTTATTGGGCATCAGAAAACACACAGTGGTACAAAGCGCAAGAAGAAACAGCCTACCTCGTAGCTTTCAAATCTGTTAAAAGAAATGTTGCCTCTTCAACTTGATCCCACAGTGTAACCCACACAGGATTGGGTGAGATTTGGGACTTGCATTGGGTGAGAATGTTCCAAGACCAAAGGACAACAAGGAAAACCTCTTAGTACATAATGAGTAAATAAACCTGATAGGGAGTTAATGAATTTACCAGTTGGAAAAAAATATATTTAATTTTCCAGTCAGTTGATTTGCTGTTATTGTTCATTTATTTGGTCATTAAAAGTGATCAGTGAGAGACCAGCAGATGGCATAGTGGTTATGTCGCTGGACTCTCACATAACTAACTGCGGTTTGAGTCCCAGACCCAGTGGCTTAAAACTCAGGCTGGGTGCATGTGTGTGCGTGCCCAAAATCCTGAAAGGAGAAAGGATCGCAGTGTAGCCATCCCCCCCACCCGGGGAGGTGGGGGTAATTTCTTGCTTTCCCTCTGTCTCTGGCAAGTGCAAGCACCCTACAGCAAAAATCTCTCCCCCCCCCCCAAAAAGAGATAAGCAAAATCTGAAAAGGTCAGGTACCAAATAATTTGTGCACTGATACTATATTTGTCATATTTATTTGTATTGATAAGGATTAAAAGAAAATGCAAATAAGTAAACTATATTTCTACATAGAATATGTGTTTTCTTCACATTAAGTATTAAAATAAGCAACACTGAAACAAAAGATGCCCATCCACAATGGTGGAAGTAAAAAGGCACCATTGTTCAATGGCTGAGCTTGCAGAGGAAGCCTGGATTTAGTACTCGCCAAACCTAAAACAAGCCAGGTGTGTGTGGTATATACCTGTAGTCCTGGCTAGCTGGAAGGCCGGGGCAAGGGAATAGCAACATGGTTACACCCTGTCAGGGATAACAAAAATTATAAGGGGCCAGCCCCGTGGCCTAGTGATTAAGGGAGCCAGATCTCACATGGCCAACCATGCTTTGAATCCTTGCCCCAGATGCTTGGAAAGCACACTGGGTACTTGTGCATTTGTGCTCCAGATCCCAGCAGGATGGAGAAATGGAAAAGGGTCTGTGGCATGAGAGCTCCATTCTGCTTTCTCTCTCTCTCACTCTCTCTATAGTGAGTGAATGTGTGCTCTGGCAATTTAAAATAAAAAGGCTAGAGGCTATAATAGCTGGGGCCAGAGGGTCCATTCCAAAGCACCTCTTCATATCATGGCTGGCACCTGGTCAATTTTAACAGTTTCTATGGAAATCTACATTTCCAGTTTTTTGGAGATATTTATGACATTCCTGATCATATTTTTAAAAATGATTTAATTTTACTTATTATTTTTTAGTTTGATACTAGGCATATGCACTTGCTAGAGGGAGACAGAGAGAGAGAGAGACAGTGAGAAAGGAAGTTGCCAGGTCCAGGACTTGAAGTGCAGTGGGCAGAGGGCCATGTGGGAGTCTAGGACCTCAACCATCATGCCACTTGCTGACCCAATCTTCTCAATTTTAATCTCTTTTTTCATTAAAAAAATTTTAAAATCACTGATAGGGGCCAGCAGGTGGCATGGTGATTAGGTGCTGGAGCCAACATAGCTGACAGGTTGGAGTACTGGACCTGGTGGCTTGAAACTCATGCCAGGCATGTGTGCATGAATGCCCAAAATCCCGAGAGAAAAACAGAAGGGATTGTGGTGTGGCCATATCTCTGAGGGAGGGTGGAGATTCCTCACTTTACCTCTCTCTCTGCCTTTGGCTAGTGCACACGCCCTGTAGCAAAAACCTTAAAAAGAAGAAGAAAGAATTTTTGAAAGCCAGCCAAGTAGCATAGCAATTAAGCCCTGTACATAGGGAACTATATGCCACGTGGCTAACCACAGTCCAAGTCCTGACCTTGGAGGCATGGAAAATACACTGGACATTTGTGTGTGCGCCCAGAGTCCTGAAGAGGTGGAAAAATTGAAGAAAAAAAGATTGATGGTGTGGCCACACCTCATTAGGGGATGCTTTCACACACACACACACACACACACACACACACACACATACCCACACCCTTTGGTAATTAAGAAAGAAATCAAAATCACTGATAATTCCACCACACAGAAAGTACTGTTATTTTCTAAAATCATGGTTTCACAATCTTGGTGTTTTTGTTTTTGTTTTCGTCTTCGTTTTTTACCAATTTTTAACTTACTCCCAAAGTTTAAATCTTTTGGTCTTTGGTGTCACATAGCCAAATTATAAAACCAAAAATGAGTGTGATAGTACAAGTTTTATTCAGTGTTCAAGTAATGGAAAAGCACGAGACGAACTTACAAATCAACTTCTCACTGGTCTTAAGCTGGGAAGTTTAAGATAGCAGTATGTATATCTTATGTCTAGAAAGATCTCTACCAAACCATTAAGAGAAGTTATCTTTGAAAAGTTTGAAACATATGTCCCCCAGAAAAGATTGGGTCTTGGTTGTATCATGAAGATGTTAAGTGAAAGGGATTATCCTTAGTGTCTCAGGTGGGGTCTTTGGGTGTGATGAGGTCATTAGGATCTGGTCCTATGATTGAGGTCTGGTGGGTTTATAAAAGGGCAAAGAAGACCAAAGCAAAGAGAAACTTAAGAACAACCACTTTGCTCAAGATCCTGTCCTCTGCCATGTGTAACCTCAGGAGAAGTTGGCCCTCAAAGTCCAAACAGAAGTTGAATAAATCTCTACAAACCACCCAATCTCAGATATTTCTATTAGTAACACATTAACAAAGTAACAAAGTAAGATATAAGGCATTTTCACTTTTTACGTTTTATATTTGGCTATTTCTGAAGTTTTACGGTAGCAAAATACTCATGTGTTACCTGTGTCATTAACAACCCAGATTCATTGTGCTTAAGGTGGCTGGATCCCATATGGCTGACTTTGCTATTTGAGTCCTGGAATAGCATGTTGAAAAATGTCAGACACTTGTGCATTTGTACCCAAAATCTTGAGGAAAGTGGAGGAGAGGGAATTGTGGCTTTGCCATGTCTCTGAGGAGTGATTTCTCACTTTTTTTTTTTCCCTCTCCCTCCAGGAACCACATGTGCCCTATAGCAAAACTTTTTAAAAAAATAAAAAATAAAACCTGACAATCCAAGAGCTACTGAGTCACTCCTTTCACTATTAATAATAAATCCAATTTTGGCGTTGACAGTAATCTGCCTGGGAGGTGATACCATACAGGCAGAAGGAGGCACTTGGAAAGCAGGAGAAGGCTGACCCAAGAGTCCTGGTGCTCTGGTTATCACTTTTATCAAAGCTATCAACATTTAATAGTGTAAGACAGCTTTTCTATGGGTATGTTTCAGACCTGAGGGTCAGGAATTTAGACATGGCCAGTGGTGATAGATTCTTTATTCCCAGATATGTGCAGCGTCAGTAGGGGATACTGAAAGACTGAGGATGATTCTAACCAGCTGAATCCCTTCTGTATTGGTTTCTATCAGATCCAGTCTGGTGAACAGGGCAAATGAAGGATCAGCCCAGAGGGTAAAGAAAGAAATAGGCGGGACGAGCAGATGGCGTAATGATTATGTCGTTGGACTCCCATTTAGTTGACCACAGTTTGAGTCCCAGACCTGGCAGTTTACAACTCAGGCCAGGTGCATGTGTGTGCATGCCCAAGAACCCAAGAGGAGAATGGAGGAGAAGGGATTACAGCATGGCCATCCCCCTGGGGGATGATTTCTTGCTTTCTGTCTCTGTCTCTCCAGCAAGCACATGTGCCCTATAGCAAAAATTAAAAAAAAAATTTTAATTTAAATTAAAAAAAAAAAAGAAGAAGAAGAAAGAAACAGTCATGGGACCAGAGTTGGCATGATGGTTAAGGGCACTGGACTCCCACATGGCCAACCGTGGTTTTAGTCCCAGATCTGCTTTCGCTCTCTCCCTCCCTATCACTCGCACTTTGTCCCTTTCTGGTCAAATTAAAGTAAATAAAGTTAAATTAAAAAACTCTTTAAAAAAATAAAAACAGGCAAAAAAGTATGGAGAGAGGGGAACTCAGAACCTCAAGGGTTAAAGAACCCAGGTGCTTTATTTTACAGACAATTTAAACTATCTTAAGCAGGGAGTAAGGTGAATGTTCTCTATATGCTATATGAGAAACAGCAGGCTCTTAAATAAAGATTAATTCTTGCAGGCCATTACTATTACCTGGGACAAACAATCTTTATGGTTTCCTGGCAGGGACATTGCATAGATTCTTTCCTCTTGGGTCCGTCTTAAGATTAATGGTCCATATAGTTTTCCATGCTGATCTCAGCCCAGTGTCCTGGACCTCATGCTCCCAAGACTTTTCCAACTGGTTGCTGTACAATGTATTTCCGTATTCAATCTCATTTTTCTCTTGGTTTCATCTTTTTCTATCATATGGTTCCCAGCAGTTTCCTAGTGCTACCACAACAAACTGCCATAGATTTGATGACTTTAAAACAGTAAAAATTACTCTTAACACTTATCAAGGCCAGAAGTCCAAACTCAAAGTGTCCGCAGCATTGGTTCTTCTTGGAAGCTTAGAGGGGGAAACCACACTGTGCCTCTTTCCTAGCTTCTGCTGGTAGTTGGCAAGACTTACAGCACTGTAACTCCAATTTCTGCCTTTTTACATGGTCTTCTGTATCTGTGTAACTCTGTGTCCTGTTTTCTTACAAGAACATTGAGTTTCAGGATGATTTTATCTTTAGAGTCCTAACAAATTATATCTGCAAAGATCCTATTTTCTTTTTCTTTTCTTTTTTACTTTTTTTCCTTTTTCTTTTTAGAAATTTCTGCTATAGGGCAAGTGTGCTCGCCAAAAAGACAGAGAGACAGAGACAGAATGTGAGAAATAACCCCCAGGGGGATGACCAAACTGCAATTCCTTCTCTTCCACTCTCCTCTCAGGATCTTGGGCATGCATGCATACGCACCCAGGATCCTATTTTCAAATAAGGTCACACTCTGAGATTCTGAGTGGACATGACTTTTGGAGGGACATTACTCAACACACTGCACATCCAAGATGACTTCCTAACTCTTGCGACTGGCACTTGGACCCAGGCAGTTGAAAGATCAGTTGGATTATATGCCTTTTAAGAGGTCTCTTGTGCTGGGAACCAGCAGTTAGCGTAATGGCTATGTCACTGGACTCCCATGTAGTCGACCGCGGTTCACGTCCCGGACCCAGTGGCTTAAAACTCACGCCGGGCACGTGTGCGTGCATGCCCAAGATCCCGA